GTTTGTTTAAGGAAAAGAAAGGGGAGCGGTATGTCAAAAATGATGATCTAGTCTTAATCGGAAAGCATATCCATGAGCCCAAATGGGTATTAGTAAAAAACTGTTACGAAATTTTTGCAAAGGGCCCAAAAGCATATCGGGAGAATGTAACATTTCGTGCGTTAAAGACAGATGCAATTCCAGACGTAACTAAATTTTCCCAGATAGGAATACAGTTGTAGTTTTCGAAGATATTTATGCCGAATCAAAGAAAATTCAGGATCGGATTGTTCCATATTTTATTAGTGGTCGACATCAGGGTGTATCAGGTATATATGTGAGCCAAAAGTATACACAAACCCCTAAAATTGTTCACGAGAATATTTCACACTTAGCTTTATTTCGAGGCTCAGGAAGTCGCGAAGATATATGCAGAATTGTACGTCAATATACAGATGATCCAAAAAAAGCATCTAAGATTATTGACAAACATTTGCGAGATCGGAATTTTGTGGTCTTCTATTTTACTAAGGCAACTGACGATCCTCTCGCAATTAGATTAGGTTGGGATATGCCCCTGAAATTGGATGAGTTTATTAATTATCTGCTTATTTATTGTGAAAAAACTTTGTACTAAAAGGATTTTTATGTTCATGACCGCATATACATTTATTTTCTAATACACATTCAACACTTGGTAAATTATCCTTTTCAGCCCGAATTCTTTATTGATACAACAAAAATAGATATCTGATGATTGATTTGTCGCTGAAAGCAGTAAACGCATATTTACAAAATGTAATAAAAATTCCTTTTTGCGAAAAATATAACAAATCACATCTAATTTCATTTTGCTCTTTTCGTTTCTGGAGTGTTATCCGGTATTTCCATCCAATTGCATACACAATTAGGACCCTTATCGTTGATTGCGTCTTCCATGCCCATTTTCCCTTTCAAAAACTGTCGATCTGTAAGGTGTGTCTATAAAAGTAAAATAAGTAATAGTAATGAGATGTATTTGTATGCCTTGTAAAGAAATACCTCCAAATAAACGCCTATCCTTGCAATTTTAGCTAGAAACCATCGGTCCGTATATGACTTTGGGATTTTACATTTAAATATTTCGTATATCCTATACGTTTTCATACCGTGAGGTAAATTGTTATGAAATATTCTAAAAGCATAGAAGTTAGGTAAGTCTTACCACAAAATGGGAACCCATTCATGCAAAAAAAGGAAAACACCTACTATAACCATGGATGCCGACAGATTTGAATCTTTCGCTGTTGTTATGGAAGATTTTTCATATTGTAAGAAGTGATAATTTAAATCATCCACTCCGTTACGTGCTAGTTTCGTTATATCTCTCATATGATGTGTTGCGTCAAATTCTGCGGGTCCAAAGGACTGTTCATATATAATTGTAGCGTTATTGTCCTGATATAAGACAGCATCGTTCTTGTCGCCTCTCCTTGAACTTGACGGTTTTTGATCAGCATTTATGTTATAAACTATCTTTGTGTGCCTCATTTACGATTTCTCCACTAAATCAAAAATAATGTCAATTTATCATAAAAGAAAGGTACAAGATTAAAGAAAGGCTTACAAGGCAATTCCTGATGTCAAATTTCCAAAAAACATCGAAAATAAATCAAGAATTCGATAGACCGTTTGGTTGGACCATGTTTTTTCGTCGCTATCTATTTGCAAACCACCATAGTAATAGTAAAATAGAAAATGTCGACAGACTTCTCTCGTCCATAACATCAATGGCCGTGCATCCCCGTCAAGTGGTTTTTCTACTTCCGACAATGCATTTTTAATATCTCCGTTGAGCAAACAGTGAAGATATTCCTTGATATCTTCAGGGAGTTCAATTTCAACAGTGTTTTTAGCTATCATCTCGAACCGGTCCTCCGCATCCATTTGCGACAATTTTCTAAATGGTTCACATAGCACATATATATTTCGATTTCTCATATCTTCGAAAAATTCATCAGTTTTACTCTTTTTCTTTGCTGATTCACTTGCAACCTATATAACGGATGTCCATTTATTAGTGGAATATGCAGTAAAATAGAATTACGCAGAAAATAAACTTACAACAATATCATCAGATCCATTGTCTATTTGTGATCGTTGCTCATTATGCTCTTCACCTTGATCATCATCAATTTCACCTTTATCTTCCGCTTGTTTGACAATAACGCTCTGTAGCAGAAAAATCCTTTGAGTACAATATTACAAGCACTGCCAATCATGACTAAAAGAGTCATATCTAACCTGACTTTCAACTAACGAATTGAATTTTTTGTGGACGTTCTCATTGGTCACTTGAATCGAACGGTGAACTCGAGTCTATAAAGCAGGAATATTAGTATTATCGATCACAAGCTTACGGCTTAAAAGTTTGCAATGACTTAGAATACCGCTCTCTTCTCTTGCATCCAAATTTCCCAGTCTTGTTTATATTCTCCGTCCTAATTAAAAGAAAGAACAAGCTTAGAAATTCAATAATATAAACATGAAAAAATGTTTTCGATTATGTACATCAAACTTCTTTCGAATTTCTGTAAGTTTCTTCTGTATTTCCCTATTTTTAGGATTGCACTCCAATGCTGAATTAAGAGTATTGCGGTACTTCTCATCTACACGGTTATGATGAGCTGGTTTTATAAATCGATAGAACGAAAGGGGTGTAGGATTATCACAATTGATCATCCATTTTACGTTTTCTTATTTCTTGCTCTCAGATTTCGGCATCCTCAAAATCGTAAAAGATATGGGTAAGTACCTTGTTGAATAAAACTTATTAATTAGTCATCCAAAGGAGATGTCATTCACTCAAGACCGGCCATCCACTGATGACTTGCCATTATTGGCTTCCGACAGATCTAGAGATTCCAGTCTGCCCGCTGGCGTCTTTTGTGCCCAACAGCTCATAATAACTCTGTGCGACTGAAATCTTCACTCAAAGCCGGCCATCTATTGATGACTTGCCAGTATTGGCTTCCGACAGATCTAGTATTCCCAGTCTGCCCGCTGGCGCTTTTCGTACTTAACAGAGCTATTGAAAAACTATGGAGAGAAAAAAAAATTATAGACTCGCCTGAATAAGTAATTTATGTTAATTATCACAAGGTATCGTTTAATGACGAAGAATCGTAAAAACGCGTTTTCTTTAGATTGATTGACCGTATCAAAAGTCTACTTCGATGGAAATTTCGATCGATCAAACAGACCAATGATTTTGGTGGTTCACGCCTGATAGGGTTACACAAACTAATAAAATTCGCGATCAAAATGCCGATCGAACAACTCATCTAGATCAGCTGATGGATAAGCCTGTATAAGATATGATCACTTCATTATTTATTGGTTACAAATGTTTTTAAAAAACAAACATGAAGAGGAAGAGTAAACTTCAAGTAACCAAATATTTATACCTCAAATCAGCATACCAGATAATTGCAAATAACCCAAAACCATATTATGAAGATATTACATTTCAAGCAATAAAACCTGATAAAATACCTAAAGTGGATACGTTTTTTCCAGAAAGAGGTAAAGTGGATATATTCGAAGATGTATGCGTTGATCCAAAGAAAGTCCAGGAGAAAATCATTCCTTATTTTACTGAAAGGCGTCATAAAAATATTAGTAGTATGTACATTACACAGAGCTTTTTTGACTGTCCGAAGATAATAAGGAAAGAATTAAATTATATTGTACTCTTTAATGGCTCTACTTCTGATGAACTAGCCCGTATTCTTCGCCTATATACTTTTGATTGGCGTAGTATATATGAAGATGTCGTTAACTATTTGACTGATCGCAATTTTATTGTCTTTGATTTAACAGTGCTTCCAAACCATCCTCACAGGATAAGAGCTAGATAGGATAAACTTTTTAAAAAAAATGTCCAAGCTAGTGAGTAGAATCTGACTTCATAAATGTCAGCTCTTTTTCCGCCTCCTATAACTGCATCTTCAAATCCTCATTTTCACATTACAATTTCTTATTCATACTAATCCACTCTCTATATTCCCTTTCTATGTCTTACATGAATTTTTCAAAAATTCTTTTATTATAATCAAGCAGGTATTAGCAAAACATTTTAAGTTCATTCATGACTCAGCAATTGTTTTCTTTCTCATAATCATGCTTTAACGTTTCCGGCCAGTTGGCATTATCAGTTTAGACTCCAATGTCAGTAACATATATAGCCGGTGATGCTAGGAATACATTACATTCTAGCCAGCTTCAAGGACGTAATAATTTTGTCTGAGTCATAAATTTGCGTTTTCTATTTAATAAATTCTCATAAACCTCTAATATGTATCTCAAATAAGATTCAATTTATTCAGACTTCTTGGAAATAGATTCTAATGCAACGGGATCTTTAGAATGGTATAAGAGTTTCTCACACGCTCTCTTGACAAGGCTTTTAGGAAGTCTATTGATAATATGTTTATAGTCAGAATAGAACATTTTATTAGATATAGTTTTGCGTAAAAAAAGTTTGCATGTAAAGAATATACCCATTAGGCAATAGCAATGAAATGGTTTATTTTATTAATAAATTCACGTGTCAGTTTCATGACACATCTGGCAGATCAGCTAGAAATATTAGCTCCGATCAAGAATTTCATGTGACATCATAGTCATTGGTCAGCAAAAAATTCATGTAATTTTGATCGGGAGCCTTGGCTGAAAATTGCCAAGAAAATTGCTAAGAAAATTTTATTATTGCCTGGGATATATGCCACACACATGGATATATATTTGCGAAATCGACCGTCAGAGTCACTTTATTGATACATAATAAAAATATATAATGCTCAGGATATATTTGAAAAAAATAAATCTAATTATTCTTGATCAGAAGATACTGTAGAACTTTTTCGCTTAAGTCATTCTGATCTAGCTTCTGGCACATTTAACAATAAAGAAATGTTAATAATTAAAATATTTCGTAAAAGTAGTAATGCCTTCACAAATTGCAACACATTACCTTTATCAGCTAGTTGAATTGGAATTTTAACTGAACGTAAATGAAAAAGACGGTGAATATCATCAACATTCTTAATTAGAATGTTTAGATGAACTATTTTTCCAGCGATTTGGAGTCCTAAAACCTAAACTCATTTTTATTTGATTTACAACCTTTATGGACCCAAACCATTCTGTCATTCATTTTCCTCTACAGCTTTACATTGTCATTCTCTTCTTTGATTTTGGTGCAGGTTATACGAGAAGATTTTACGAATATAAGTTCATATAATTTTTTTTTACTCCCTTTCATGAATATAACATTGGGTTTTTTATCTTGTTTTCTGTCACCTCTTCTATTAGCACTAGCTACACTTTGTCACTCTGCACTGAATAAAAAATAAATTTATAAGTTTATTGCTAACATATAATATAAGTATATGAAATGGAGACTTACATGCTGAGTAAAGCAATTTTTCTAACTGGAAGCTTTTTCAATATTGCTCAGAGTAAAGGAACTATAACATCTGTCATATAAGTTCTTTCACTCTGTATATTTTCAAACTTTGGAGTAAAAGCAGGACTCTTCCATACATCACCACTTAAAAGATAACTTTTAATAAGCATTAAATATAACAGTTTTAACAATAAAAAAATACTTACAGTGTATTAAGAATTTCTTCTGTAATCTTCACTAGAACTTCTTCTGATTCTTTCCAAGTCTTGTTATGCGAGAGCTTTGGTAGTAGCTCATCTGATCTTTCAATAGTAAATTTTTCCACAAAGAAATTACACTTTTCTTGTCTCATCATTAATACCCTCTGTGATCGTTTTTATATAATTTTCCAAATCGGCTGATAATGATGAATTTTCTTCAGGCAAGATTTTTCACCAGTCTCAAGATTTCCGGCCACTTGATACTTCTTCCACATTAGCATTATCATTATCATTATCGTTATCATTATCATTATGCTTAGAGAAATTATTTATGATATCTTAAACTTTATCATTAGTCAACTCAGAAATAGAGTTCGCAGTATATGTTATAATATACTTAATATTTTCTACACCTATCTTTTCAAATAAATTATATATTTTTACGGCTTTCTGAGTTTTTCCTTGCAAGTATTTATGGGTGATTTCTGGGAGTTGTAAACTGGTTTCTTCAGATCTATTTTTACGGAGAATAGAAAGATCCTCTAACATCTTATCATAAATAATTCCTTTTGCTTTTTTCTCACCAACTTTTCTTTTTTTCATAGTTTCATTAACTTGAGTTATAAAATTTTTTTCATAGTAATACCAGCACAAAATTTCTTCCTAATTCACATGAATTGCATCATATTCAGCATCAGTCGCTTTATTGAATAATTGAACTAAAGTAAGCATTGGTACTGTAGAAGAAATTTGACTCTGTTGTGATAATATATCATTAAAGAACTAAGAATATATTTTTGAGACTGTGCATCAGTTTAAATACCATCAGATATCATTTGAGAAATATTTTCTGCACCTTTTTTCCTATGACTATTTTTTAGCAGAGGCATTCCGGCTAAAATTCCAATCACAGGATTGGATATCACTGGTATCTTTTCAGAAGCAGAACACCCAGTATCAGATAGTTCTTTTGAAATTGATTCTTGATCTTGGTTAAGAGATACTTGCTCTGCTTTACTAAATTTCTTCTCCCTATTACATTGTCTAATCTCATCACTAACTCTTTCTTATACAACTCGTCAAAAAAAGCATTTGTATTTACATCATCTAATCTCTTAGAATTGATAGATACATCACCATATATTTTGCAATTAGGCTCACTATTTGAGCTAGCTTGCTGAACTTCTTGAGAATTGAGTATGATAACAGCTAATGCCTCTATCTCTGGTATCACTTCCTTATCTTTCTGAGATTCTTCACCTACTACCAAGGAACCCTGTTCCACTATCGCAAGTCTAGCTTCAAGCTCTATATTTTTTTGCTCTAATTTTTTAACCTTGGTATCACGCATCTTATTCTCTTTAGCAGACTGTCTTAACAGTTCAGTAACTCTAGCCTTAAGCTTAACTTTCTCAGCTCTAAGCTCATTATTCTTAAACTTAATCTCAGCAAATCTCTTCTTAAGTTCGTCAATCTCAACTAAGAGCTTGGTATTTAATTCCTTTAATAAATCATTAAATTGTGCGTTAAACATATCAATAAATTTTATACAAAAATATGAAATATTCAAAATAAATAAAATATGTGATTTTGACTGGGGGGTCCCAGTTGAAAATTGCTAAGAAAATTTATGTGACTTTAGGGTTATGTGAGTATCTATTTTATTTTTATAATATTCTGCTTTAAAGATAAGTCCATCTTGACTGGATACATCATGAAATGCCTTCATATTAAAGAGTTCTCTCATTAAGGAGTGATATATTTTTTCTCTTGGATCATTACATTAGTTTTCAAGCTTAATCGAAAGATTAATAAAGTTATCAATCCAAGGCATATTTTTTCGGTCATATGAAATACTTTGTAAACTTCATCAACTACTAGACCTTAACGAATAAGTTCTCGTAATTCTGTATCTGTTACTGTCAAACTTTTGGGCTGAGTCTCATTGGCTGATGTTGAAGTTACCGATGGTATAGATTAAATATGTCTTTTATTCTTTTTACGAACTATAATCTTGACTTTAGAAGAGTGAATTTAAAATCTCGAAGAAAAAAATGAAGAGACGAACGCTG